GTGGCTCATGTCAGAAGCTTTTCTCTCCTCTGCCCACAGTATGTCACCAAGCCCCTTCTCTACCCCAGTCCTAGCTTAGCACCTGCCAGCCAGCACTCCATTTTGCCAGTGACAGTAGTGGTAATAAAGGTGGGAGAAAAATATATAACCCTGTGCCTATGTATTAAGAAACTGTATTTTGGAACCCCCAAATAATCCTCATGGTCACATAGGTCCTGGTTCCATCTCCCTAGAGATTTAATTCCATTCACCCTTGGATATATTCCTGAAGAAACATTTACACAGTGATATGTGCAGCACCACTTAAAATTGTTAATTGGAGATTGAATTACTTGTCAACTTTTTAAAATGTAGTCCTCTCAGGTCAGGGAGGAGGATATTAGCTGCACTGAGTAGATGAGCTATTGCATTTTTTTCTTCCCCTTCCTCTTTTCTCTCCCCCTCCCTTTTCCTCTCTCTCATCCTTTCTTCTTTCTTTTGTCCCTGTTTTGCCACTTTTCCCCTACTCCTGCTTTTCTTTCTCCTGTTTTCTTTCAGCTTTAGCCAACATTTATCAATAACCTGAATGAATTTAATATCTAGAATCATGGATGAAGTCCAGTGATGACAATTACTCAGTAAATTTACAGAACCCCTCCTCAAATCCTCTTGAGAATGGAAATGTCCTAATAAGGGGGAGGATTGCAGCAAGGACTCAGCTTGTGTAGCCTAATTCTTAGATGCAGGAGGACTTTTATATTCCCTGCTTCCTTAAATAGAAGATGTTCTGACCCACCAAGGATTGTTTAAAAAGGGGAGAAAGACTGAATAAAAGGGGGAGAGAAGGAATAGATTTTATTTTTTATTCCATCATTGATATGCATCATAATTTTTCTCATCTTCAGCACATGATTGCAAATATTTGCCTGTAAGTCTAAGGGTCCCCAACATAATGTGTATGTCAGGACAAAGGCAATTTTTTAAAAATTGAGCTAAGTTGTCTCTGTGAAACTTGGAAATCTCAATGCCTGTGCTGACAAATATCCTGACAAGTAAATATTGCACTCATTCAGTATTACATAGTGATTTCATTTGCACAAAACCTCACAATGCTCTGCCACTTCAGTCAAACATCTGGAGCACGGGGGAAAGGAAGAACATGTTTATCTTGATCTCCAAAAAGGGCTTTAAGGGAGAGAGCAGGCGGTATATTAGGCTGTTTTCATTGCCTGTCAGCTGTGGTAAACCTGAGCTGTCTGCAGTGTCTCTAGATAAGCAGCAGCAGCAGCAGAGGCCTGAGCATGGACGTATGACTGCATTCATTTGTACTTCTTATGTGTCTCAACATTTCTAAAGGCTACGTAGCATCTTCGGTGGAGCCTTTAGCAATTGTATCTCTGCTAATCACCGACTTTTATGTGGTGCCCTTAATTCTTAGGTCTGCCAGCTGCAATGAATGAAGTGCTGGATGAAGCTTAAGTTTATATTGAGAATGAGTCAAGATCCTCTCTCCTCTCAGATTCAGCTCTTACTCAATTTTGTCAGCATGGCACTCTTCGGCAGAGGACCCGGAGGTGGAGCCTATTCCTAATATTTCATGGTACTGCTTCTCCACTTAGATCTGGAGGGCAACAAAGAGAGGCCTCAGGAGATTCACCTGTGTTTGACTCACTCCTGTGGTTAAGTGGTTATTGATGCTTGCTGGACAGATAAATTAAAAGTTTGTATGGTACGGTAGAAATGTCAGAGGAATATATTTGGGAACTAAAACATGGCAAGAAATGCATAGGTCAGAGTTAAAAGGCTGTTGAAAGCAGCTCACCTATTTCATGAAAATATGTTGATGAGAGTTGTTTACCCCAAGTTTTTCTGTGTAAGGTCAGTAGGGCAACATTGAGGAAGAAAACAGTGGTTCTATGTGGACTCCGTTCATCTTCCTAGATAACGATGAGGGTTTGTGTAACAGTTATAGCATGATCGGTTCAGAGTTAGGCAGAATGGATTTTATCCTAACCCAGATTCTGCTTCCTTGGTTGGAGCTTTTGTTGTGAAGTATTCTAAAATCATTAAAACCACTTGAGTCAGCAACGACCCCTATAAATCAGGAGCTATTGTGTGCGCCCTCATTCTACTGGTGCATACTCCAAATGTGGTGCTGGAGATGAACTGGAGGCTCCCTGTTTCTCTTCGCGGATTGTTAAGTAGCTGTGATTGCTAGTATTTGTTTGTGGTTAGGGGAGCAGTTTCATTTCTGTGTCCATCCCCACCCCACCCCACCCCACATCTCCCAAGATAAGGCTGGTTAGAGAGGGGTATTGGGATACTCTTATTCTGTCATTTTTCTCCTTAATTTCGAAATTAAATGAATTTTCTCACATGAAAAACACTCCTTTAGCTCAGAAATAATGTTCTTGGTTGTGTTAAGCCCTGGTTCTTCTAAACCTAGGAGAGGAGAGGTATAGAAATACTGCTGCCTTTTCAGAACAATGCCAAAGCATTGGAATCCAAATTTTAACTGAGCTTGTAAAGGGAAGAGTACTCAGTTACTGAGCCTACCAAGTTTGCCTCCCATTATTTTGTAAAAATACGGGATAGAATGGATAAGTGGTAGAGGATTACTTTTAAATGAGGCAAAGACATCAGAAGAAAGTATGTTTTAAACAGCTGAGCAGTCCCTTTTTCTGAGTATAGTTCTTCATCGGTCCCTTACTAATTTTGGAGATGTGTAAGATTCTAAGTGGTTGGAGATTATCAGGTATTGGAGATAGGAGGAAAATAGTGTTTCTGAGGAGAAAATGGCCCCAGCTCTCTCTTCTGGGCAACAAGGAGTACTTTGCTCCTGACCTAGATTGTGAATATCAGATTTTCAGGGTCACCACAGTGTCTCCTTTTTTATTCCTTTTCCCCCTTTCCAATTTTATATTAATAATTAAAAATACTGCTGATCACACTGAAAGACTTCTAGCAGAGAGGCAGTCTGTCCCAGAAGGACTGGTTGTGGGCCATCAGGTTTATGACAACCATAAAACCAGAGGCAGATCAGAGCGTGGCCTCCGTAAGTGACAAGGTTTCTGCCTCCACCAGGCTCCCCCATCAACAGACTGCTTTGGATATTTGCTTTGGTTTGGATTTCTTGTTCTGTTTTGTTTCTTGATGCATGTGTGAATGTGCATGTGTGCACGCATTTAAAGATATAAATGAAACAGGTATGTAATGCCCTCTGCCTGTTAGACTAAAGCCATAAAAATAACAAACGGCGTGTATTTGCTAGAATGTCAAAGTTATGAGTTTATTTTGTAATGATGTGCTCCTGCCTTCATGAGGTAAACTGGCCGTGGCAGAGGTGTTATTAGTAATATGGACTCAGCGGAGCAGAAAGCCGAGTGACCGAGAGATCAGTGTATCAGTCAGAGAGAGGGCAAATGGAAAGAGACAGCAGGAGAATGAGAAAGCCGCAGTGCCTGGGCTGAGATTAAAGATGGACTGAGAGGTGGATGAGAACTCAGTGGTCAGATACGGTCTCCCCTGTTCACGGGGCTCCTTCAAAGGAGCTGCCAGCATGTTGCCCAGCTTGGGACTACTTGTAAAGGCTTGTTCTCTGCTCTTCCTTATCAAGGAAAACAGTAATCTGAGAGCAATTTTGCTTTCCATATTCCTTTCAGAAAAGTATCTTATGCCTTTCCCAGCTGAAGTTAAATGGAACCAAGGCCAGCTGGGTCACACTGAGGTTATTACTTTGGTCACCAGCTTCTTCTACCTTTGGAGGGTCCTGATGGAGGGGCTGACCCCACATGCAGGGGAACCTCTCAAAGCTCCTAACAAGAAGGGGCAAAATGGGAATATAAAGGCAGGCTTTGCTGGCCCTTAATTTGTTAGATTCTCCCCAGAGACTGAAAATGAATAAAAGTAGAGAAGAAATTTTGTATTGTTGTTATTTTTTAAAGTATGAGGGGAAAGAAAGAAAAGGTAAAATACAGTAAGTGCTCTACAACTGTTTAGAGCTCTCTGGGGCTACCCTAGATGACTGGCAATTACTACACACTCAGCAGTTTGCAATAGTCAGTGATCAGGCTGCCCAGCTTCAATCTGCTGGGTCAGAAAACCTCCCTCCCTGAAAGAAATTATTAACCAGTCTTCAAGGGAAAAAGAAACCCTACAATTTCCAAGTCCAGGAATATCTATTCTTCCTCTTTTTTTCTTCTTTAAAGGAAACTTTGTGGTTTCCGATTGCAGGTGCCCTTTGCCCTTAGAAGGGTTAAACTCCTCCAAGGATATACCAGGGATTGAGGCCCTGAACTCCCTGGAGCCTTGGAAGGGAAGGAGGAGGGAAAATGTGCTTGGGTATAAATCACAGCCCTGCACCCAGCACACAAAGAAGACTTGAGACTCAGAGGTTCATGTAGGTATCTTGAGTTGCTTCAAGATTTTGCTAGCTTTAAGGCTTATGTGTGGGGGCCAGCGTTAGGTTGGTGCAAAAGTAATTGCGGTTTTGCCATTAAAAGAAATTACAAAAATCACAATTACTTTTACACCGACCTATTAAAAATCAAATATAAGGAAAAAATAATCCTTTTTAAAAACAAGGAACCCAAGTCCCCAGAGTTTCTTTAACTGAGACTTCTCACTAAATATTGTTGAAAGATAGTCATGTTACCTTTTTGTGTATGTGCACTAAGAGACTTGCATGTGATAAAGTAGCCTGTGCCTCTGGGTCCCAGCCTCACCCACCACTGCAGTTTCAGCTGAGTGTGGAAGCATGCTATACCTATCTGTGGTTGCTGGTATAGAGAAAGGGGCTTGCCGGTTTTTAAATTGCAACCATGAATGTGATTGTTAAAAGTATTTTTTGTTTTCTAAGTTTTCTTTTTAGGAAGAAGGTTCAGATAGTCCCTCAGAACAACCCATGGAGACTGGAATCTCTGTTTTGTGGAGAAAATAACCCATTTTAGTGAGACTTGTGAAATAGATCATGCCTTTATTTCTACAGAGACCAATGTCTTTTCTCTTGCCTATTTCTCTAGGTCCTCGGGCGGGAAGTGTACACCTCCAATAACCAGCTCGGGGGCATCCAGATCATGCACAACAATGGGGTAACCCACTGCACTGTGTGTGATGACTTTGAAGGGGTTTTCACTGTCCTGCACTGGCTGTCTTACATGCCCAAGGTGAGCCCTTCCTACCCACCACTCATAGCCTGCAGAGCCCGTCATTTCCGCTACAGCTCACTGCCTCTGTGTTTAAGGTCTTGTCTTTATGGTGGAGGAATTTTTTTAATAAAATATTTCTCTGAAAGCTATTGATTTCTCTTTTTCTTACAGCCCTACCTTTAAAATGTCTTTGGATTTCATTAGCTGGGTCTTTTTCGAATGCCTGCCAGCCACGGAAGCCCTCATAGCCTACCTGAGGCTCAGATCCCAGTATATTAAGGTTCCTCCTCATTGTGGTTTTTCTCCTTTGTAATAGCCGTTCATTCCTCAGAGGAGCCTCCCAGAGAGCATGGGCACACTGAAATCAGGAGTCAAAACACACCTCTTTGTGCCAGGCTCCTTAATGAGAATATTGACCTGTACATGTTCTTTGGGGCTTAGCACATAAGTAGGATTCTTCCAGCTGAAGATTGGGACTATCATGTGTAATTCCATATGTGGGCCCTGCTGTCTTTGTCTATAGCTGTTGTTGCTGAGTTGGAGTCTATGACTGTAGTTTGCTGATTGCTGTGCTCTTTCTCTTCCAATCTTCTTTTAGAGCGTGCACAGTTCAGTTCCTCTTCTGAACTCAAAGGATCCTATAGACAGAATCATCGAGTTTGTTCCTACAAAGGCCCCATATGACCCTCGATGGATGCTAGCAGGCCGTCCTCACCCAAGTATGTATATGTTTGAGGACCTGGCTCTCAGCTTTTAGCCTTGTTTTCAATCACTATCCAATTCTGAACAATTGCATGTGACTAAGAAAACAGAGCTAAGTACCTAGAAACGAGAAAGACCTGAAAACGAGCCCTCTGAAGAAAAAGGTGGGAAATCCTTCATGAACAAATGAAAAATAAAATGAGATTTTCCAATCACCATTGAGTCAAGCAATGTAGTCACTAAACATTTCTTCTGGTTATTTTGTTATTAAAGCACTTACTACTTAATGGGTTCAAAGACTTTAAAACAGTTCATTATGAGCCATAAAATCATAGAATTATAGGACTAGAATCTTCAGTCATCTAATCCCTATAGCCAAAAGAGATTGATCAGTTCTGTTTTGAGCAAATGTCTTTGAGACCCTTCAGTGTAGAATATGACTTCACTCTTCTCAGGAAGCTCTGAGCACCCATCCTGCATATGCCCTTCTTTTCTTATGATATTGGTAATGGTATTGGTACGTGCTTCACTAATTAATAGAAGGCTACTTTGTAAGCTAAGCCCATTTATTCATGAAGAGATTGTCCAGAACTTTAAATTCTATAGAAACATGGAGTGAAAATAAGCCCTCCCTCCAGATATATCTAATCTATCGCTTTGCCTTGGGGCTGATTTTACCTAACTTAGAAACAAAACAGGAAAAAGAAGTAACTCTGTGTACATTCTCATTTGTCAGTCCACTTGGCTGTTCAAGCAAATCTTACTTATCAGGAGGTTCTTTTGCGGTGCACCAAATCCCTCTGCTATATTTTGAATCCATTTTTTCAAACTGTGTGAGGAAGCATTGGTTCTTTTTTGCATGTTTACTGCAACTATTCAAAGAAAGGCTATATATAAAAGTAGAATGGCCAGGCGCGGTGGCTCACGCTTGTAATCCCAGCACTTTGGGAGGCTGAGACGGGTGGATCACGAGGTCAAGAGATCGAGATCATCCTGGTCAACATGGTGAAACCCTGTCTCTAATAAAAATACAAAAAATTAGCTGGGCACAGTAGCGCATGCCTGTAATCCCAGCTACTCAGGAGGCTGAGGCAGGAGAATTGCCTGAACCCAGGAGGTGGAGGTTGCGGTGAGCCGAGATTGCGCCATTGCACTCCAGCCTGGGTAACAAGAGCGAAACTCCATCTCAAAAAAAAAAAATAATAAACAAAATAAAAGTAGAAGAGATTGCAGAAGGTATTTTATTAAGTGTAAAAGTCATTGTGATTTTGCTGAAAGAGAAAGAGGTCTTCATAAGGAAGACTTAATAAACCTTTGTGGGTACCCACTGTAAGCCAGGTGGGACTATAAAGCACTTCCATATTCGTTATTTTCTTTGCAGTTACGACCTCTCATAGGTAAAGAGTGATAACTACCTTACCAAAATTAGAGAAGTCGAGTGATTGATATAAGGTCACATAGCTATTACATTGTTTTTCTACAATATCTACATTAGGCTTTCTATTGTATAAAAACTAAATAGCCTGAAAAAAAAAATCACCATACTAATCTTTTCCCTACCATTTGTTTTTTTTTTTTTCCTTTTCTTGAGATGGAGTTTCCTTCTTGTCCCCTAGGCTAGAGTGCAATGCATGATCTCAGTTCACTGCAAACTCCGCCTCCCCCTCCCCCTTCTTTTTGTACCATGATTATGATAAGAACTGAGCCTTATCATATTATCAGATCAGATTATGATACCATGAGCCTAAGATTACCTGTCAGTGTTTTTTTTGTTTTGTTTTGTTTTGATACGAGTGTCTATCTGTTGCCAGGCTGGAGTGCAGTGGTGCAATCTCGGCTCACTGCAACCTCTGCCTCCTGGGTTCAAGTGATTCTCCTGCCTCAGCCTCCAGAGTAGCTGGGACTACAGGCGTGCCACCACACCCAGCTAATTTTTATATTTTTTGAGAGATGGGGTTTCACCATGTTAGCCAGGATGGTCTTCATCTCTTGACCTCGTGATCCACCCACCTCGGCCTCCCAAAGTGCTGGGATTACAGGCATGAGCCACCACACCCAGCCACCTATCAGTCTTAAAATGCAGGACTTTACTGGGAATGAAATGAACCTCTTTAATTCTAGAATTTGGAATAAGACTCAGTGAGTGTTTTCCTGGGAAATATGGGGAGCCATCTTAGCCTGCTAAGTTCTGCATCAGAAGTGGGTAGGAGCTACTCTTTGGGGACTGTGAAGCACAACTGTAATAGTCAGTGACTCCTCCCACCCCTAGCAGGAGGGTTTTTAAAGAAGAAAACATTTCCATCTTGAAGTTAATTCTGTAGTTCCAAATGCCTGTTACTGAAGTAAGAATTAGAAAATGATCCAAGAATGTAAAGCTAAAATTCAGTATTCTGATGAACCTAGAAATTTGGTTTAGAACCTTCATCAAAATTTGAGCCCCTCTTTCATGGGTGAACAGAAGTATGTCTGTATAGGGGGGCGTTATCCTGGCCATTATTAATGAGAGCTACAGAATAAAAGGAAATTTGTGATAAACTAAGTTTTCTGTTTTTTGGATAATATTTTTTCATCATCTCCCTAGTAATTCATCCTGCTGTCTATGTGCAGCTAACACTCGCTCCCAAATCGAGTGACTTCAGATTTTAATTTAGTGGAAGCGTTAAAGAAAGCAGATGATTCCCAGTGATAAGTTAAAGTAGATATCTTCTAGGTGAAAAGTTAAAGTCATTTATTAGAGGAGATAGTGCTGTGATATTCTTCAAACTGACGCCCAACACGAGACCAGAATCTAAACGATCGGCTTTGGGCTCACGATGGAGAGATAATTTTGAAATGGATGATCACATTTTACACTGGGGCCATAGAGGCAAGGAATGTAGAACACAGTAATTACAAGTTTAGTCTTGATAAAACACTCTTCATCCTGTTTAAGTCAGCAGAGGTTAGCTTGCTCAGATCTCCACTTTTAATTGGTTTTGGACTTGGGTTTTTAGAGAGTGGAGGGCCATGTTCAAATTAGAAGAATCACTGAAAACCGTGAGCTGAGAGGGCAAACTATGAAACACTTATTTGCAGAAGCTTTTATGAGGCTTTGGTCAAACATTCATACCTGTGGAACAAAAGTTTTTTTCTGAAACTAACATGTTAAAAGTTTTGGGGCTTGCCAGTGAAGGAAATTCTATGTGCAAAGAAGATTAATGGCATTAAGTATGTGCATCTTAACTGTTGTATTTTTACTATCTGTCAAGAATATGTGACCCTTTTTTGTAGAAAGATTATATTTTATCAGATGTTTAATAAAGTAGATACATCTTGTTGCTTTCGTAGCACAGAAACTGAGTCCCTATTTTTCCCCTCCACATTTGGATCCTTATCTGATAATTAATACTTATTATTTGGCTGTTTTCAGCCTTTGGTTAAAAGAAAGTCAGTGGAATCAAACAAAATTGTAAGGCAAGTTTTAAAATAGAAATAGACATTTTGAAAATATCTTTAATGACTTGGCTGCCTTTTGAAAAATGTTTGTAGTGTCTTCAAAAAAGTCAAGTTATTTATTTAAAAGCATGCAAACTCTCTGCTAGCTGAACCTCATCGCTTAACAATAAATGATGTTTTTGCTGATAAATGATTCTTTTTATGCAGACTAGCAAATGAAATAGGAGATGATGTCTGAAGACAGATGAACATTCAGCTGCCTAATGCTTCCATCTATTATAATACAGTTGAAAACAACAAACTCCCCCCAAATAATCCCCCAAACCACCTTAAATTCGTCAGTTCCAGTACACTGTCAATGGATTGACGGTCCTTATTCTCTGTTTTCTTTCTTTCCCTTCTGTAGCCCAAAAAGGTCAATGGTTGAGTGGCTTTTTTGACTATGGATCTTTCTCAGAGATTATGCAGCCCTGGGCACAGACTGTGGTGGTTGGTAGAGCCAGGTAAGAGCTCTTTTGTTTTGGCGGCTCTTTTTCCTCCCGACTAAAAATAAAGGAAAGAGTCATGGCTATATGGCTATAGACCAATAATGTTCTCTTTGTCTGAACTTCCTAAGAACATTGGATTATAGCCATGACCAAGGCAGAATAACTAGAATGCTAGTTCTCAGTTGCCATTTTGTATGTCACTCAAATGATGCATTTCATCTGAAGGCAAATTTTGACAACATTTTCCTTTTTATAATGCTTCAAGAAACACTCTTTGGGAGCTCTAAAGCCGAACTACAATAGCCAGGGCCCACCAATGACTTTCCCTCTCCCTAAGACCATTTTCTTTCAGGAATAGGTGACAAGTGAATCAGAGACTCATCTGCTTTTATATGTAACTGAAGAGAAGTTCTTCATGGCACTGAGATTATTTAAGTAACAAATGTACTGTATTGGATTATAATCAGATTTGAATTGCCCCCTTCCCCCCCAAAAAAGGAGTGAGTAAAATAAGCTGGATAAGTTGCTAAGATACCTATATTTGTCAATTGGGAAATTGAAGTTTCTATTAAATTTGAATACCCACTCTAAGAAGTGCTTCACTCAACCTCAAGCTCTGCACAAAATAATCTGTAGCCCTAGCTATAACGAGCACCTGCCACAACTGATCTTAATCTACCTCTGCACTGCAGAGTCCTGCTGCTGAGGGACCGAATCTGGAGCTCACCTTCCTCTGGGGGCAATCAGTTTTCCTTATCTTGGTGAAAAGTGGCACCTGCTCAAGATTCTCAAACATGCCACATTGGGTTCAGATTTAGATTCTAGCCTTGAAAATAATTCTAGGCTCTGTGGTTCTCAGTACAGCAGGTCAGCACGCCTCAAGCTGCCTGTGACAAGGAGCCATCAGAGGGCAAATCCCATAGACAGGGTCTTCCTCTGTGACTCTGAATAGGATTCTGGACTGGAGTCAGCTCAGACTGAATGTCCCAGAGCCTACCTGTCCATTTTCTTTCAACTCTCAAGTCTTTTGTCTCACCCCAGGCTTCTTGGTCCCAGTGAGAAGTATTCTCTGTGCCTGGTAAAAGTCCTACTGGGGAGCTGGAAGTAGGAGATGCACTGGAGCGAGAACGCTGATACTCAGCACCTGTATCAGCTTGTTAGAGAGATTTCTCACAGCACGCTAAGACCAACTTTTTTGAGATTTCTCTCATCTATTCTGCTTCAGTTTTCCTGTCTGAAGAAAAATGACAGATTTTAAATCTCAGAAAGCCAAACATTTGTTAAGTTCTTTAAGAGCCTCCCATGGGAAATAAGAGAATAATACTTCACCCTTATGATTAGAAGAATAGGGATTGGTTTGCGACTAAGATCAGTCAAGCTTGGCTTTGGTTAGCTCTGCCATTGTGTATTGCAACACTCACTCTGACTTCCTCCTTTCTTTCCATCTGACAAGTTCTGGACTTCTTACTCCAAACACATACACATACTCACAAGTATATAAAACACAAATGGAGCTCTAGCTTCTTTCAAAAGCAATGGCATTTCGAGAAATAAATATAAATGTATTCTTCTGGGATTGTTACTGTAAGTGCTGCCAAAACTCATCTTTGGTATGTATGTTTGGAATATGTGTGCTATTGGCTGTAAATTGTCTTTTATTATTCCATGGCACCTTGTCCAGGGACACACTATAAAACAAGATGTAGCATCTTCATGTGCTAGCCTGATAAAATTTATATGAAGTATAATAGAAAACAGAAGTTGTTCTGAGCTGTTTTCAAGTTCAATAAATAACTGTAATACTCGGATAAAGATGTTCTTTATTAGGTCACATGGGCCCTAATATATAAGTTATAAGTTACCGATTTAGGGTGGCTTTTGCAATTACAAGTTTCCAGTTGGATTGTTAATCATTGTGAACAGAAATATTTCTAAACCCTCCTGTGTACCTCCTGCTCGTTGTCTTGTTGTCTAGAGGGCTTTTGATTCTGATTCAGTGCAGGCAAGTGACAAGGGGGTGGGTGGTCTCCACTCAGGCCCTTGTCAGGCCTCTTGTGATGACAGGAATCCATTTTCACTAGCCAATTTAACAACCAAAGGCCATCCTTCATGGAAAAGTTTGTTATGGAGATGCTGTGGGGAATGAAAGACTATAACCCATCCCAGCCCCAACCCCAAGGAATGCAACAGTGAGAATGAAGACTGAATCACATTTTCCAGGGTAAAGATTCACCCTATACTTTGTCTTGCTCTCTGATTTTTCCTAGAAAATCTTTTTGAGGACCGAATTGGGAGGTTATCATGGAGTATAGATGCAGAGGCTTTGAGCTCCTACACAGTTTTTAAAATTTACCTAGCTTTGAGATTAAATATATACTTCTAATATAGATTTCACCATGATTACTACTAAAAATTATCCTTGTCCCATTGCTCTTTTTCAATGAAGGAGAAAGTTAAGGTCTTGTTGATACACTTCCCTACTCTAGGCATGTGTTTTTCATCATCCTTATAACATGCCCACATACTCCCTATCCATATGCCCAATAGTATGACCTATTGTACCCTCAAAACTTATCTGGAACCACATTATTAATATTCCATAGAAAACTACAGCTCCATTTCAGCAAGATCAGCACTCATTAAAAGTTATTGCAAGTCTCAGATTCCTACTGCCTTTCAGACCATTTTCTACCATCTTCGCCAAGGAAATGCTTTAGAGTGAACTGAGAAATTTCATTTGGCAGCCACAGAGGTAGGGATATGTATATATGCTAGGCTGTTGAGTCTAAATGCAGAGGCTCCCCTAGAACAGCCCTTGGTTTGAATTTATCTTGTGTTAGGACATTTCAGAATAGGAGAGATTCTGAGTGTGGTTTCCCACCATATTTAGAGAGTAAATATCACATCTATAGAGTGTCACATTTAACTCCTAGAAGAATCAGATTCCCCATGCTCTGTCTCTGTGTTTCTAGTTTCTTCCCCAATGTCTTGATGTGGGATTGGAAAACAAATGGCTAGCTATAATGCTGACATACATTGAGTTCTTACATGGCTCATTTTTTATCAGGCTAGGAGGAATACCTGTGGGAGTTGTTGCTGTAGAAACCCGAACAGTAGAACTAAGTATTCCAGCTGATCCAGCAAACCTGGATTCTGAAGCCAAGGTAAGTCACCTCAAGTATACTGTGAGCCTGTGCTTGGAGGGTTTTTCCCTTCGTAGTGCCTGTGGATATAGAAGGAGCATTGCAACCCATCAGTTTTAGAGGGAAGGGCATTAGCAGCCTTGAATGATTTTAGAACATCATGTGCTCACTTTAAGATGACTCTAGATGGACTAGAAGCTAAATTCTGCCTGAAAAATTAAATAAGTCTCTACAGTGGTCTTGTTGATGCTAGAAAACAGTATACTTTTGTTGGGGAGATGGTCTTACAGAAAGGCAGCTGAGATAATACTGGCTCTTTGGTCCCCAATTCTCTGAGTACACACGTGGAAGAGCTACAGCTAGACTTAATGGTGAAGTCTGCCCTAATGCCAACTGTGAACACCACAGCCCTTTGTTTTTCTGTTTTGTTTTGTTTTTGTTTTTGAGATATGGTCCATGGTTCAGGCTGGAGTGCAGTGGTGTGATTTTGGCTCACTACAGGTTTGACTTCCTGGGCTTAAGTGATCCTCCAGCCTCAGCCTTCTGAGTAGAACTACAGGTACACATCACCACACTTGGCTAAATTTTTTTTTTTTTTAGAGACAAGGTCTCGCTATGTTGTTCTGGCTGGTCTCCCACTCTTGGACTCAAGGGATCCTTCCGCCTTGGCCTCCCAAGTGCTGGGATGAGCCACTGCGCCTGGCACCATTTTTTTTTAATGGATTATATTTTCACATCCTGACACCATTCAGAAAGTGAAGAATCGGGGAGGCCAGGGAGAAGGCTATTCAGCAGTGTGACATCAAGCATCTATTGATTAGCCACAGTACAGGAAAATGCTATACTAAGCATAAAAGTGAAAGGACTGGGAGACCTCGTACAGTTGACTTGCTTTAAGGAGTAGCATAATGGAGCCATTTAAAATTGCTTTTGAGAAACCTCAAACAAGGGTTCTTAAGACTACATTCTTCCCTTTTGACTAAAGAGTTGTTATAAGCAGAACTTAAAAAGAATAGTATTTGACAAGGTCAAAGATCCAAGATCCTTTCTTCTTTTTTACTCCAAACATGATCTTAATGAACAACGGTTTTTGTTGGTTCGATTTTTAGTTTTCAGTTTTAATAAGTAAAATCTTGTTCACCTCGAAGAGATTTCCACCTGGAGCTGTGTTGTTAATTTTGTCTTCTTTGACTTTTCCCAATAGATAATCCAGCAGGCTGGCCAGGTTTGGTTCCCAGACTCTGCATTTAAGACGTATCAGGCCATCAAGGACTTCAACCGGGAAGGGCTGCCTCTGATGGTCTTTGCCAACTGGAGAGGCTTCTCTGGTGGAATGAAAGGTGACTGGCCTGCCTGTGGGCTGGGGGAGCATCACTGATTCCTGGGCACTCTGCTGCAGAGGGAGGGTATAGACTCGGCAGTATCTGTGGGTTACCCTAACAGCCTAGGTTTTTTTGGGGATTCTGCCCTCTCCGAGATATCTTTTGAGTTACAACTTGAATGGAAAAAAGTACATTTTATAATTCCATACAAAATTTCAGAATAATCTACTAGTGTTATCAAGGTGACCTACTGCTATGGATTTACCTTTCACAGGTGGATACTGGACCATTCTGGTGGTCCTAGGGAAATAATTATTGTGACTCTGTCTCTCTTTTCTGGGCATATGCTTTGTTGGTGTTATTTCCTAATGTTCTTCAGTGACCAAGACAGATACTGAAGTTAGCATTTACTGGAAGAAAATGAACAAATTCAGCACCAAAGGCAGTTCTTTGTGGCAATTTGTGCTATGTCGTATTATTATCTAACAACAGCCCTGAGCCCGTGGCTCTAGCATATTAGACCATTAATATAAAGGCTCTACTTCATGCTATGGGAACTGCTAAGTAATTAGGCAGCCAGTATGACCATTTACAGAGAATCCTTAATGTGTAGAGCCACTGTGGACACTACAGGGAGAGCCAAAGGAAACACACTACCTCTTACAGTAGTGAAGCTCTCTCCCAAGACTAGAGGATTCATGGCCATGCTAGGCTAGAGACTACATACCTGGAGGGTATGAGAGTATACTAAGTATAAATTCCATCTGTTTTGGGGAGAATTTGGGGTTCTAAAGCAATAAGATAGGGCCAGGCTCTTTAAAGTAATAGGACAGGGTGGCTCACGCCTATAATCCCAGCACTTGGGAGACCGAGGCAGGCAGATCACATGAGGTCAGGAGTTTGAGACAAGCCTGGCCAACATGGTGAAAGCCCATCTCTACTAAAAACACAAAAATTAGCCAGGCGTGGTGGTGAGTGCCTTTAGTTCTAGCTACTTGGGAGGCTGAGGCAGGAGAATCACTTGAAGCTGGAAGGCAGAGATTGCAGTGAGCCAAGATCACGCCATTGCACCTTAGCCTGGGCAACAGAGTAAGACTTCGTCTGGAAAAAAAAACAACAACAACAACAGTAGGAGGGAGAAGTTGAAACTCTTGGAGTAAACAGTGATTTGAAAATGCTGACTGGACACAGTGGCTCATGCCTGTAATCCTAGCACTTTGGGGGGCCAAGGTGGGTGGATCACAAGTTCAGGAGTTTAAGACCAGCCTGGTGAAGATGGTAAACCCTGTCTTTACTAAAAATACCAAAAAAGGAAAAAAAAAAAAAAAAAAAAAAAAGCCGGGCACAGTGTCAGGTGCCTGTAATCTCAGCTACTTGGGAGGCTGAGGCAGGAGAATCTCTTTAATTCAGGCAGCAGAGGTTGTAGTGAGCCAAGATCGTGCCACTGCACTCCAGCCTGGGCGACAAAGTGAGACTGTCTCAATTTAAAAAAAAGAAAAGAAAATGCCTAGGATGGCCAGGCGTGGTGGCTCACACCTATAATCCCAGCACTTTGGGAGGCCACAGTGCGTGGATCACCTGAGGTCAGGAGTTGGAGACCAGCCTGTCCAACATAGTGAGACCCTGTCTACTAAAAATACAAAATTAGCCAGGCATGTGGTGCATGCCTGTAATCCCAGCTATTTGGGAGGCTAAGGCAGAGAATCACTTGAACCTGGGAGGCACCTGAGATTGTGCCTCCAATCTCAGCTAACTGCACTCCAGCCTGAGCAACACAACAAGACTCCATCTCAGAAAAAAAAAAAAGGAAAGAAAGAAAATGCCTCTCGATAGGGCACTTAAAAATAGCTTAGGACAGAAGCACCCCCAGCCTGTGAAGGAGGAAAAGCCTGTGGAAGCTACCAGATGGTCAGTTATGTGGTGAGAGGAATTTGAAATTTTTGCCGACAATTTTTCCTTACTTGGCTAGGAAGAGTCTGTATGGCCAGGCTTCCTTGGCAAAATGTAGACTAGGTTGATTGTGTGTGTGTGTGTGTGTGTGTGTGTGTGTACGTGTTTTTTGTTTTGTTTTTTTGGTTGAAAAGCTTACCTTTGCCTATATTTGCTGGAGAACTACCACATTTTACACTTTTCTTGGGGGAGACTTGGACTGTACATCCAAATTAATGATTGTTTACTTTTTTTAGATTATCAAGGTGAATTATTTTTTTACCAAGATAATAAATTAATGGAAATACCATGAGAAATTTAGAGTATATGGTTAAGTCAATCCTATACATTTTTATTGAGTTCTGTGGGTTAGGAACTATGCTAGACACTTGAGAGAACAAAAATAAGTCAAAATGAGTCAGAAACAGACTTTGCCTCACAGAGACAAGAAAAATGTCTTGAACAAAGTGATAAATCCATATGTCTAAACAAAATGCCCGGACGTTCAAAAGAAGATGGTAGTAGCATATCAAAAGGTTGCGGGGGGGTCTGAAACCCTCCATTCATATATATGGGGTTCATTCAGCATTAGATTTCACTTGATCCCAAATTCCTTGGCTCTAATATTTTTGTTAGACCTGGGAGACAATGCAATGCTATTACTCCTTACTTATCTCTTTGTGGGGACCCATTGAGAATGCACACTTCCTGACATTACTTTGGAGTGTCACCCTGGATATTTTATCCTAACTGCAGTTCAGAGTTCAAAAGTTCCAGTGTGCCACTTCTAGGAAAACCTTCAATTCTGCTACTTATTTTGGCGCAGGCCCAGATTGGCTGCTAGCCCTGTAACAATAAGAACAAAAATTAAGATTCATTGAGCTGTTTTCACCAGAAACTTGTGCTAACAGTTTTACATGTATTATCTTACATAATCATCACAAGCACCTCTGAGGGGTAGGTTATATTGTTATCCACATTTTACATAAATTAAGATTTATGTAAATTAGGTTAAGTAAATTTCCCAAGCTCGTTCAGCTAAAAAAAAATGGCAGAGTTGGAAGAGGAAGATGGATCCGTCTGACTCCCGGTAACACTGTTGGCTCATTTTAGAGCCTAAGACTAGAATCAGATCTACTAGTATATTCCTATTAACTGAATGTCAGGGTTCCTGAAAAGTTATTATCTACCTACTTCCCCTCTACTTTGGGGCTGTCCTTGGTTATTGTGAAAAGAAATTCAAGAGCTCAGAAAGGAGTTCATGTTTTATTGTGGTAAAATATATATAATATGTATCATTTTAATTATTTGTAAGTGTACAATTCAGTGGCATTGAACACATTCATGGTGTTGTGTAACTGTCACTGGTATCTACAGCCAAATATTTTCATCATCATCAATATAAACTCTATACCCCTTAAACAACAAGTACCCATTCCCTCTCCCTGCTGCCCTTGGTCTGAAATGAGTTATTGGCCTGATACAGACCAGGGCCAGTTCTGTCTTCTTAATTTTGGTGCTGATTTTATACCTTGCATAAGACAAATAAGCTTTGGGGAAGATAGAGATCCCTATGAAGGTAGGAGCGGGGAGAAACAGTGCCTTTCATATTGACATACAGATCAGGGTGTTTCCTACATATTATCTCATGTAAAGGGACCTAAACTGAGGGCCTCTTGTCATTCTTCACATCCCTTGGGGAGATGTTTGCAGTTTTGGTTTCAATACTGGCTGGGGATTATGCAGGGAGGGAGAATAAACAATTATGCCATCCCTCAGTGCACACAAACACACAGCCAGGAGCCGACTGCACTGTGGGTAAAATGACTCCAAAATTGTGTGTAATGAGTAGGAAAAGATTAGAGACAGCTCTTGCTATGCTGAAAATTGACATTAGTGGAGGGAAAAAAAAACTCTTTACTAGTCGGCCTAGGAGGTCTAATTCGAGCAGTAAAAATATAAATAAATAAATAAAAGCATGTCAAGATGGTATTGGTGCTTTTTTTCCAATGAGCTCTATCTGGCCGGAAGGCTATTCAGCATAATGCAAAATTAAATTATAAAAACTGGCTGAATATTTAGATGGAAGAGCCATTTGGAAGCAGTTTATTTAGACGAACCGGCAATGACCCACAACAGGGAGACATCAAGCGTGAAATTTACTAGAAATTAGCACCAGGGTCCCAGCCTCAGCATGAATAGCTTGATAGGATGCAAATCCCAGTGATATTAAGCTGCCTCACTGCTGGTACTACAGGGTCACTCTCAGTTGGCTTTTCATGTTATACTTATTATTTTTTCCTGGGACAGGTTATAAATAACAATAAAAAATTCATTGAAAACTTTAACTGGAATGAAAGTCTATTTTAAAGTCTCTGATTACTTGGATGTTGAAATACAGTGTCAGCTGGTCATAATGAACGAAGGAGAGACATTATATATGTGTAGCTTGTGTATGCCTAATGTTTACCTTCAGTTTCTAACAGATAATCTTGCTCAAGCCAATAAGATCTGTTTCATTTTCAAGAGTGTGGGACACTGTGGAAACACTCTGCCACCCTGTTCCCTTCTTTGGTACACGTGGCTGCCATGGTTTATCCATGTTTATAACAATAAAGTCCCTAGGCAGGGTTAGTGGGTGCTGAGAGCACACTGCAAAGGTTGTGTGATCACCATTCATGCAGATGTGCTTTGCCCAGCATGCTAGAAAACTCCAAGCTCCCACCTCTCCAGTGAGGAACCTATCAGTATTTTCCATTCCCCGTTGCATTTCTCAGGGCCTGAGAATTGACAGCATATGCATATGCTGTCTAACATTCTATGCTAGCTAAAATTCTCTAGACTGATTTCTAAACGAAACCCTGGGGATTGCCCCTCCCCTGCTGGTCTTGGCTGTGCTTTTGCTTTATCTCTTAAATATGAAGGGATTTTAGACAATTGTGTGTCAGATTGTTGCCAAGTGTTTCAACCTGCCTTTCAAAATATGTGGTTTGGGGCAGCTGCAATTCAGTCTGAGCGTGTTGATTACAGAGTTTATTTGTGTGTTTGTTTATATTTAATAGTCTGCTTTTTGGGTGTTTTGATGGTTGGGCTGTGGTTGTGTAGGTAGGTGTTCCAGGTGAGATGGAGACCATATATTAGTCCCAAATACGTCAGCTTTAACAAAGCCTGATGCCCCTTTCCTACTCACAGTCTTGGGGCCAAAAAATATTTGTTTGGCAGTGAGATCCTAGCCTCACACAAGCTGGTAGAATATCAGTATAGTTTTGAACATTTCTGAACATACAGGAAATCCAGCAACAGTTGGGAATATTCAGTCATGTATTCAAGTCTCTTTCTCATTTTATTTTACTCATCATATTAGATGTTGAAAAGCAGAGTACCTCAGCTTCATGCTGTCTCTCCTAGCAGTAAGAATGAAGTAGCAGAGGCCTCGCATAGTGGCTCACTTGTGTAATCCCAGCATGTTGGAAGGCCAAGGTGGGTGGATGGCTTGAGCTTAGCGAGACCAGTCTAGACGACATGGTGAAACCCCATCTCTACAAAAGATACAAAAATTAGCTGCACATGGTGGCACGTACCTGTAGTCTCAGCTCCTTGGGAGGCTGATGCAGGAGGATCGCTTGAACCTGGGAGGCAGAGGTTGCAGTGAGGTTGTGCCACTGCACTCCAGCCTGGGTGACAGAGCGAGACCATGGTGCCCCCCCACCTCAAAAAAAAAAAAAAAGAATGAAGTAGTAGAATGTGGACATTAGACCCAACAAGATCTAGATTTGAGTCATATCTACCACTCTTATTTAACTAAGCTTCAGTTTACTCACCTATAACTTGGATATATGAGTAAGAGGATGCTCTGATGATTAAGTGATTTATATGTGTGTATACATAATCATGCTCTGTGGCACACAATAAGCTAGCCATGATGATGCCAAAAAGGAACCCACGTCCATTTCACAGAAGTAAACATTGCTCACATACACTCATCTTCATTCAGAACTGTTTGCATATATCATGAAATCTAGTATTTTTTAAAATAGATGAATGAAAATACATCTTAAATAAAGTCTCCCCTTCTTTTTGGGATCTCAATCTGGTAATTATAATACAGAGATAGATTTTGTTGTAGCTAAGTCTTTAACAAGAAGAAGTGAGTGAGAGGGCTGGAAACTTTGTCTTCACTTACCTCTAACTTTTTTTTTCTGTTTCAAGTAGAATGACTTTTTGTGCCGTCTTTTATTGCTTTATTTCCTCCTTTTATCTGTACCTTCCATTTCCTCTCTTTGCATGATATTGTTGAGGGACACTCTTTTCTGTTACTTGTTCTGAGACTGTACTCTTGGCAGCACTGAAAAATGTACTGCTAATTACACAATTATTTTATTATGTAGCACTGGTTGAAATATCCACTAAAGAATTAATTTAGTTAAAATAATTTGAACTGAGCAATTATTTTCATAACCACAGAATTAGCGTAAAGCGCTTAAAGTCCTTTATACCCTGCTCTTCATACAGCAGTTGTGTAATTAGCAGTAAATTTTTTTGGTCTTTGCTTTTCTCCCAAAGGAATAAATGTCTTCACTCTGATCATATACATGGAGTACACATTCCACATAGAGTAGGGAGTGTTTTCGGGGGAACTTGGAATTTCTGAAGTATTCACTGACACACCAGGTTGGGGCAGTGGAGCATGTGCCTTGCAGTGAACTGTGCTCACTGATGGTTTGTATATTAAGCCATTTTTACTTTGGAGAAGGTGGCAGTTTAATTTGCCAGCAACTACAATGAAAGCAATTTCTATTTGGTTTGCTCTTAACTTCCTGAAAAATGCTTCTTTGCCTTTGATTCCCAGAATTGATTTATTCCAAATTGAGATCCTCTCTTTGATAAGAAAGTTTGAACTCAGTTGAACCTGTTATTTGGTGTTTAGAAAGGATCTATTGTGGCTCCACTGAAGTACTCATTAAATATCTGGACTCATAAACCTAAAACTTTAGCAATGTTTAGACTTCAGTGAGCTGGGAAATGGGAAGTGCATAACAAGTTGGGAAATAAATAACTGATCCAGTTTTCCAGGGACTCACTTTATGTATACATCATGGGTCCTTTTCCTCAGGCTGCTCCTGGCTTCAGAGGGATTACAAAATGTACTTTTTTTTTTTTTTTTTTTTTTAAGGCAGGATCTCAGTCTGTTACCCAAGCTGAAGTACAGCAGCATGATCACAGCTCACTGCAGGTCTCGGCCTCCTTGGCTCAACTGATCCTCCCACCTCAGCCTCCTGGGTTGCTAGGACTACGAGAATGTGCCACCATGCTTTCCTAATTCTTTTATTTTGGTAGAGATAGAGTCTCCTTCTGTTGGTCTTGAACTCCCGGTCTCAAGTGATCCTCCCACAGATCTCTGAGTACAGGTGTGAGCCGCCATGCCCAGCCTACAAAGCATACTCTTCAGCAAAATGAAGAAGTGGCTCCTTTCTTGTTTTTTGTCTATTTTGTTTTATGTTGTTTTTGAGACAGGGTCTTCTTCTGCCACCCAGGCTAGAGTGCAGTGGTGAGATTATCACTGCAGCCTCAACCTCTTGGGCACAAGTGATCCTCCCACCTCAGCCAAATAACTGAGACTGCAGGCATGCACCACCATGCCTGGCTAATTTTTTATTATTTGTAGAGATGGGGTCTTACTATGGTGCCCTGATTGGGTCTCTTCTCATGTGGCTGTGTGGTATTTCCTAAGTATTTTTACAAGTTTTCTTGGCTGGGTGTGATGGCTCACGCCTGTAATCCCAGCACTTTTGGAGGCCAGGGCAGACAGATCACGAGGTCAAGAGATTGAGAGCTTCCTGGCCAACAGGATAAAATCCTGTCTCTACTAAAAATACAAAAATTAGCTGGACATGGTGGTGTGCGCCTGTAGTCCCAGCTACTCAGGAGGCTGAGGCAGGAGAATCACTTGAACCCAGGAGGCGGAGGTTGCAGTGAGCTGAGATTGTGTCACTGCACTCCAGCCTAGCAACAGAGCGAGACTCCGTCTCAAAAAAAAAAAAAAATTCTCATTGATACCTTATAAAAATGCAACTGTTAAAGAATGTTTTTCTTTCTTATAGCCTTTCCAGAGTATCTTAATTCATTTATTCAACATTCTTTCATTCAGCAGATATTTGTTGACCACTAACTATATTCAGGCAATGGGCTGGACTATTGGGATACCAAGATGAAAACAGTTTTTGAAGATAAAATTTTTAAAGGATCAGTTTCTGTCAGCTGCACATTTGAAGAGCTCATCCTATGCTAAGCATCATGAGACGAACTAAAAAGAGCTAGAATAGTTCCTTCCTTCAGAAAACTTAATGTAGTGGGAGAGCACATATTGACATGAAAAATACTCAACATTTGTAGAGCAACTGTGAATTAATGTGGTGAAACCTGAGCACAGAAATTTAGGGAAGATATAAAATGGAAATGCAACCTGGAAGACTTACACACTGTGTCTTGTGAAAGACAGTGCATCTCTCTGTTGCTGTCTTGTGCTTTCGAAGATCCTCTAGAGTCTTTTTTTTTTTTTTTGAGACAGAGTTTTGCTGTTGTTACCCAGACTGGAGTGCAATGGCACAATCTCGGCTCACCGCAACCTCCACCTTCTGGGTTCAAGCAATTCTCCTGCCTCAGCCTCCCGAGTAGCTGGGACTACAGGTGCACACCACCATGCCCAGCTAATTTTTGTATTTTTAGTAGAGACGGGGTTTCACCTCGTTGATCAGGATGGTCTCGATCTCTTGACCTCATGATCCACCTGCCTCGGCCTCCCAAAGTGCTGGGATTATAGGCGTGAGCCACCGCGCCCGGCCTCCTCTAGAGTCTTGAATGGGATACAGGTCCATACGATATTCCCTTTAGTCTTCAGGTTAACCAAACAGTAGGCATAGTATAAGGAGGCTACCCATAGCCAGAGGTCTTGAACAGTGTTTGAAAGTACTGCTTTGAGGAAGAGGAATTTCATGATTTCTAATTTGTCTCATCCTCCATAGATATGTATGATCAAGTGCTGAAGTTTGGTGCTTACATTGTGGACAGCTTGAGGGAGTGCTCCCAGCCTGTGCTGGTTTACATTCCTCCCCAGGCTGAACTGCGGGGTGGCTCCTGGGTCGTGATTGACTCCACCATCAACCCACGGCACATGGAGATGTATGCCGACCGAGAAAGCAGGTAACATGACTTCCGTATTTCCTTTCACTGCCTTTAGGGACCCTATAGCTGTTGGTTTCCTCCTGGAGAACATTACAGCCATGGCAACTTTATTTGAATCTTTCCCTTCCCAAAGGGCTCCAAGTTCAGAAGAATAGGCTTTCTAAATAGTATCTGCTGGCAATGAGAATGAAACCAGGCTGGAGTAGCCTCTCAGTGTAATCCCCGTTTTTTTTTTACCATGAAGTCTTCTCTTCCAGGTAACCCCAAACTCAGAGATATTCTCTCCTCCTATTTGCTGTTCAGATGTGCCTGTTCACTATCTCTTCCTTAAGTATGGCATAGGGAGCTTAAAGTGAGTTGCAGTAGAAGGACTGAGTTGTTAGTCTGGAGTTCCAGAGTTTTAACCCAGCTCCGCGACTGACCATGAGAAACTTGGAGCAGTCCTTACGATCCCTTTGCTGTTTCTTGTCTATGGAATGAGATGGATGACCATTGAGGTGTACTATAGCACCCACATTCTGTGATTCCAAACCAAAGCTTCTTCCTTCCATTAGAGTCCAGGTCCTCACTCTGGCATTTTAGGAAGCTGAAGACCATGGTGTTTGTAGCACCTTAAAAAACTGTAAGGGAGAACCTCAGGCTTGTTGGGAGGTGGTACCTGAAACTACATAAATAAAGCAGATCTAATCTGGCATCCTTTCATAGTCTGTTCTCAGCTCTTTCCTAAGCAGTTAACTTCAAAACGTATTTCTTTGACATTTTCCTAGCAAATTCCTACCTCCAATCATTTTAGTGAACCACTTGCTTCTCTCTTGTCCCCCAAAATTCAGCCTTCTATGTCAAAGGCTGCTTAGGAGAGTCCAGTAGTCTCACTGTCAAATCTCTAGGCTAACGGGTTTATTATTTACATTCTGTACTTAGGGGTTTATGATTTTTAAGTCCTAAACTCATCTGATACCAGATCAGAGACAATTCCTCTACAGACTTTGGAATCAGACTGTGTGGTTTCAAATCCAGTCCTGCCACGTGTTATATCTGGATGAGTCTCATAACTTCCCGTGCTGTAGTTTTCTCATCTGTAAAATGGGAGTAATAACAGAATCTTACTACATAGTAGATGTAGACTGAGTATAGGATTGTTGTAAGCATTTATATGTAAGTAATTAGAATAGTGCCATGTACATAGTAAACATTAACTATACATTTTTTAAACTAGAAAATTTGTGGGTTTTTTAAAAGATGTTTTAAGGCAAAGTTTCTGGGGATTGAATATCATTAGTATGCAATAGAAGTAACCCTGAGACCTTTGACTCTGCTCATTTCCATAGCACTGGACAGAAGGTTTTACCTCCTACTTGGCCTGGCTTAGTGTGTCTCATCAGTGTCCTACAAGCAGACTGACAGCTGTGGTATAGGGGAGGGGAAGAGAGAGAGAGAGAAAGAGGAGGAGAGAGTAGGAGAGAGGAGAAGAGAAGAGAAGAGGGCATTGCCCTTCTTCATCGTACAGTCTAAGTGATGGAGGTGGTTCCCCTGTCACTGTGCCTACAGCATTTTTTCCCTGGAAAATAATGTGATTCCTGTTACTCTTATCAGCTGTAGGTGGTGGAATCTGTATTCTTCACCCTTTGAGATGGAAGTCGACTGGTGTGGTAATGAGAATTCTTTTAATTGCTTTTTGCCAGGCCTTTCTCATACCTCACTTAGACATTTCTCTGGTGCCTACTATTCTCCCTGGGGAGATGTCTGTTAACCATAGGTAGGCAAACCATAATGAAGCTATTTCCTGGTCCACAAATTGTAACTGGCCTAATTCTGTTGTCTCCTTTCTTTAAAGTGCTTCTATTTCTGTTTTGTTTTCTTTCTCTCTGATCCAGGGGATCTGTTCTGGAGCCAGAAGGGACAGTAGAAATCAAATTCCGCAGAAAGGATCTGGTGAAAACCATGCGTCGGGTGGACCCAGTCTACATCCACTTGGCTGAGCGATTGGGTATGTCTGCTTGTCCTCCTGGCAAATCAATGAGCCATTCAGCTGATTTGTAATGAGTGCATTCATAGGCCAGGGGAGGAGGCACTGAAGCATTTGATCAAATTCATGATAATCTTTATTTACTGTCCTCTATATGGTAAGAACCCTGGTAGAATGAAGTAGTGTGTATAATAGGGAAAGTGAACCCTAAAAAAAAGCAAAAGTCACCTGATTTTTTTTTCTAATACTTCCTTAGAGTACAAAAAGCCCGTCTTTCTAAGATGTCCAGCGAGAGTTTATGCTGGGGACAGGCCTCACCAGACAGAGAATATGCTAGACTTAAATATGGACTGTTTCTGCTTGTTTCTTTGGACAGCTCACTTCATTTCTGAGAGATGGGATAGAAAAGCAGGAATCTTTACCCAGGCGGTGTTCCGGGGTCATCATGAGCTAGAGAAATAGAAGTAAAGATTGCACACTGTGTGCTTCTAAACAGTAGCTGCGCCAGGAATAGCTCTGAGAGCAGGCGTGCTTAATGCTTCCAGCCATTACTCTGTTGCTCATTTGTTTTCAGAGCTTTTGGAAGGCATTTGCCATTTGAACATAGGACTAAACCATGGGAGTCCTGTGTTGAGTCCAGAGTCTAAATGAGTTTCAGATTCTTCTAAAACAATGATTTTCTGCCCACGTCTCCCATTGAGCCCCTTGCTATGTTAGTAAAGATAACTGCTCGAGGTTCTTTTGTCAGTTGGTTTTGCTTGTTTTTGTTTCTTCTAAAGGAACAGAGATTGCGTTTAAAAGGTAGTGAAACTCAGTGAATGGAAGGAGTAAAGAAGAGAGATGCTAGCTCATGTATGTTCCAAATAATAATTTAATTAATAAGGTATCATTTGTGGACTGTATTCCCACCATCCAGAGACAGAAAAATCCCGTTTGCCTACACTGTGGAGACTGTACATCCAGGCATTTGGAGTCCTGAGTCAGGTTGCCTGCCAAACATGGTGACTTGGGTTACAATCAACCCTGTTTGTGTCCCATTGTTTGCTATTGGGTAAGAGCCACCAATAACTCTAACTCACCACAGTCTGATCCTTTTATGGGGAATGCACACATACGAGAAATGGGCAAAGTTGTTTCTAAAATCTATTGCGGCCCGGAATTGTTGAGGTGATTTTTTTCTCTTTTGTTTCCAAACAGGATAATTACTTCTGACCAACCCCATACACTTTAATTAAAGTAACTGCAGCTCAAGAGCAAGTTACTTACAACTGTACATAGAGAGAGCTCTAAAAGCTTCAGCCACTGATAAGCATCTCACTTAGATGGGTAATAATTGCTCCCTGCATCCAGCGATTGTTGCTGCTGTTTTTTTTTCCACTAATTCCATACAAAGGCAGCAATGCTGCAATTGCAGGACACAGCAAATTGCATAATTTTCCTTTTTCTTTTTTTCCTTTTTTTCTTTCTTTTTCTTTTCCTTTCTTTTTTTTTTTTTCTTTTTGCTGGTTTTCTTTCTGGCCAATTTAAAATTTGTCAAAGTCGGTCTTCTTCTGGATCACTGCCCTTTGATATTTCGCGCACTCCATTTGCCACAAACAAGCCGCAGGGCCGCAGTTCATGCTGACTCTAGCAGAAGCAGAGAGAGCTCCATTTATCTTACACTGCCTGCTGAATTCCTACTCATTAACTGGGGGTTCACTGCCTCTTTTTAACCCCCCAATGGCTGTTATCATCCCTTCAGAGTAACTGGGTGGTAGGGAGAGGGATCCTCTCTCTGTTTGCAGAAGGGCTGGAGGGTGAGAGGTGTGGGGATGAAGCCTCTTTCTCTTCAAGGGAAGTGATGTGGCTCCCACCTTCACCCAGCACCTTTTAACTTTTGAAGCACATGAAGGGGAGAGAGGGAGGAGACTCCCAAGTGATAGCCGTTTAATCATTTGTTACAAATCATCTCATTATCAATTTCCTATCCACATTGGAGAAAACCATATTTATTTAACCTTGACCAAAATGGCACTTGAAAAAGGACCCATAGTCTGCTAAATGTGAAGCAGGCGCTGGCCTAGGGCAGCTAGGGAAGACGAGCAGTGGACTGGGAATAAGAATAACTAAGTACGAGTCTTGTCAATTATTTAACTTCTCCGAACAGCAGGTTTTTCCAGCCATAAAGTAGAGATCACACCTTTACCTAGCTAATAAGAGGAGCAGATGAGTATGCATTTACTTCGCTGCATCATTATCTTTTCATCTTAATCATTAGAAAAAGCACATGTTGCCAGGCATGATGTTGGGAGCCTGTGATCTCAGCTACTCAGGAGGCTGAGGCAGGAGAATTGCTGAAGCCAGGGAGGTGGAGGTCGCAGTGAGCTGAGATCACACCAGTGCACTCCAGCCTGGGCTATAGAGCGAGACTCCATCTCAAAAAGAAAAAGAAAAAACAGATGGCCATGTGTGGTATCCAGCATTCTCTGTGGCTCAATCCCACATATGGAAATATGAAAGAAACAGAAGTAGTAGCCGTATCTCTCAGGGAAATCATACACAGGCAGATGCATCTGCGACAAAACAGGTCAGCCTGGATATAATAGGACATACTATCAACCCAGTTCCTTTAGGGTTCATAATGGTTCTGGCTCCTTCAGCAATGCCTAGAATCCAACTACCAAGATTCTTTGTCACAAAGTGGGTGAAAATGATCTCATTTTTCAGATTGGGAAATTGAGGCCAAAAAGTTAATCATCTAATGTACAAAATAAATGTACATCAGAGCCCAGATCGGAATTCTCATTATTTGTGTTCTCCTTTTCTTGGGATTTCTACAGATTTTTCCTCAGCTGAATACTGAGCCTGAACTAAATTAAACAAGGATTCTTTCCTTTTGTAATCTAAAGCCAATTCCACAGAGAAAATCTGATTTAGGAGAAAGCCTATAGGAGTGGATGTTATCTTGTGTCCCCGTTCTCTCCCCAAATCGGCCTCTTTACTGGGGAGCGCGCTCACAGATCACTTAGACAAACCAGTGCACCACTGATTAACTGTGTTCAAAAACATAATTACTATTTATTCTCTAAGAACGTGTAATTTAACTTCTGAGCAGCTAACTTCATCTCTTCCAGAATTTTTATTGTTTTAAATGGACTTTTGTCATCTTACATGGTTAGTTTGGGTGGAAAGATAGTGAATTACTAGTTTGCAGGTCTGTGATTATAACAGAGAATATGTAATTAGTGCCTATACTGATTCCTAATCGAAGTAAGGGAAGAATTGCCTCAGAAAGAAAAGTGAACAAAGCCCAGGCCCTAGAGTGTTGCATTGCTGAACCAGTTCTGACCCTGATTCCCAGAACCACGGCTTGGTAGATTCGTTATAAGGAGAATTACTTCCTACCATTTTGGTTGCCTTAAGGAAATTAAATTTCTTCTCTGGAAATAGAGCCACAGCCCTCCCAGGTCTTTTTGTCTCTCTCTGACATCCTTCTACTGCCTCACAGGGCCAGGAGCAGGGAGAGTGGCTGTGGAGCGGGACGGCCTTGCTAGCCTGGCCTCTTGAGTGCTGTGACCTGAGGTCCTCTCCTGGATCCTTACCCTCCTCTTGTGTTCAGAGAGAAATGACAAATCAATTTAGATGGAGAGAGAACTGTCCAGCCAAGCAATTGTAAGTTCCCCACTGTCCCTCTCTCTCAGTACGAAGAGCAAGCACCTGGGCAAAGGAGCCACTTTGGGGAACTTGTTCTTGGTTGTAGCCCCATTCCCAGGCAGCTGGGCAGCCTGCCACACAGCACCACACTGCGCCCACACAGAACATGCCCTGACTGCCACAGGGAGCGGCAGCATGGACTGAGCACTGCTGCTGGCCCTGGCCTGGTGCTTTGCGCTCAAGGTTGCCCCGGGTGCAGATTTGGAACATTGTGGTGGTGGGTGAGGTCTGTAAAAATCTTCAGGAAAGCCTTCCTCCAAAGCCTTTAGCAGCCAGAATGACAGGAAAAGGAATGTTCCCTGGGCTAAGGGGACTTAAGGGTTAAGCTGCCTTTCTGGTAGAGGTGATCAAAGTATTTGAGTTGTGTTTTTCCAACTGTTGTGTCCATCTTTGAGAGGCTGAAAGCTGAAAAGAGCCAGAGTTGATTGAGGCAAAAGTGTGTCTTTGCCTAGAAAGTTAAAAGTAGGAAAGAAAGAAGTTCCAATATGCATGCCTTAGTGAATGGCCTTTTGCCTCTCACCTGTTGAACTTGGAGTGTCCTCGCTGGCACTGTGGCCACTGTGTCCTCTGTGGTAAGGAGGCTGATGAGAAATAACACGAGGCTTTCTATCACGGAGGTAGATATGGGATCTTGCCTCCTCTCTTACGTTAGCAGTAGCTGAAAACCTACCCCTTACACTGATTCAGAAGCTATTTGGCTTGGTGTAATTTAGTGCAATAGTGACAACATTTTCTGAGAAGAGAAAGGGGTCATTTTAGTTTGATCCTTTTATCTGATTGTATTTATAAAAGCACCTGGGCTTGCCTCCTCCAAGGAAGCAGTGATTCATAATTATGTTTGGCCAGAGGGACCTGGCAGGCGTTTAACTAGAGGGAACCCAAGAGAAAGCTGTCATCAGAATGTGTCCTGGTCCCAAACGACCAGATCCCAGTATGCTGACCTGCCAGACATAGGGAGGGAAAATTAGGGAAGGGGAATAATGAAGACTGCATTATTCTACCAGAAGAATTCAGAGAATTTTATGCTATTTCCTGATTTTTTATGTGGATATGCCTGCATGGAAACACAGAGAGGGACAAGGCTGAAGGGGCAGCACTATTTTTTTTATTCCTATTTAGAAATCTCTGGATTTACTATTAATATAAAGATTTTTAAAAATATGAACAGTAGAGCACTAACACTATTGCAAGGAGCTTTAGGGTTAAATATCCCCTGAGAGGATGGCTGTTAAAATCAATATGCAAATGTGGGTATATTTAGATAGGTATGGCCCCCTTTGAAGAAAAGCAGATATATGAAAATGGGATTTACAAAAAAAAAAAAACTA